GGCTTTCACGACAGTGACCAGAAGGCTTCTCTGACTGAGAGCATGGCAAGTGGACATTCAGTCTAAAATGACGGTCACCTCGTATCCTTTCCAGGGAGATCGCCTCTTTGGAGAGGCTTTGGACAAGATACTCGTGGAAACATGAGACAAGAAAAAAGCATTGCTCCGGAACCTATGCAATGTGGACAGACGGAATTCTCATTCCTTTCGCACCAACCATGTGCTCCCGCGTTTTCACCAGGACCAGCGAAAAAACACCTGGGGCTCGTCTAAGCCTACTGGGAAGAGGAGTTCCTTCAATCCCAGATTCAACAAACCCTTCAACAGACCTGATAGAGGTGACATGGACAAAAGGCCCAAGCAAGCATGACTATGCTCTTCTTCCAGTGGGGGCAAGACTTTTGGAGTTTTCCCAGGCCTGGAAGGACTCCCAAGCAGATGCCTGGGCCATAGAAGTTGTATCCCAGGGTTCCACCATCGAATTCCGTTGCACCCCACCAGAAAGTTTCCTGGTCTCACCTATCAGCACGTCAAGCACCATGCAATCTCTAGAGAACAGAGCCTTACAGCATCTACTAAAGATACGAGCCATAGAACCGGTACCTCCATCAGAACGCGGACGCGGCCTATACTCTATCTTGTTCCTGGTTCCCAAGAGAAACTGAGATTGGAGAGCCATCCTGGATCTCAAGTTTCTCAACAAGTTCATAAAGCAGCGCCATTTTCTCATGGAGACACTGTGGTCCATCACGGAGAACCTGTCACCCGGAGACTTCCTGTCATCAATAGATCTTACGGAAGCATATCTCCACGTTCCCATCCACCCAGCTCACAAGAGGTTCCTTCGTTTCTGTGTGGGCAATAATCACTGTCAGTATCGGGCGCTACCGTTCAGGTTGTCCACGGCACCCAGGCTGTTTTCCAAGCTTCTGATCAATTCTGTGGTACACCTCCAGAACCAAGGTATCCATATTCACCCGTTTCTCGACGATCTGCTTGTGCATGGCAACGTCAGAGCATCAGCAATCCAGAACACCGAGTGAAGTTTACTGTGTTTACAGACACATGGGTTTGTCGTGAACTTGGCCAAGAGTGTAATCCAGCCGTCCCAGAGGCTTGAACACCTGGGAGCAATCATCGATACGACACGCAATGCTCTCTTTCTGCCATCAGCCAAGGCCATCAAAATTCAGGAACTGACATCCAGTGTTGTACGCAACCCAGTGTCCTCCCTCATGACCCTGGCCAAGTTACTGGGTCTCTTGATATCTTGCATAGACATGATCCAATGGGCACGCCTGCATGCCAGACCGTTACAACGCTTTCTCAGACCCTATCAGTGGCACATCATGGAATGAAGAGACTACTCTCTCAGGGTCCCTGTCTTGGTTCGCACCAGCCTGAGATGGTGGACGTGTATGCAGAACTTGACAAAGGTCAAGGTTTACTATGCTCCTGTGGCTGTAGAGATCTTTACAGTCGCCCATTCAGGGTCAATGGTCGGAGGAGGAACAACTTCTCCCAATCAACCTTTTGGAGTTGAGAGCGATACGTCTGGCGCTAGAACACTTTGGCCCTCAGATCCGGTTCCAGCATGTCCTAATAAGAACGGACAACATCTCGGCCAAGGCATATCTAAACAACCAGGGCAGCTCTCGGTCCTCTTGCCTACATCAAGAGGCAATGAAGTTGTTGAGGTGGGCCGAACTGAACTTGACCTCAATACGGGCCGAACATGTCAAGGAAACCAGCAATGTCCAGGCCGACTGGCTCAGCCGGGAAACCATCTGCGAGGGCGAGTGGTCTCTACACCCGAACCTCTTCAAACTCATTGCAAGGCAGCTAGGCCAACTGTCGGTGGACCTGTTTGCGTCTCACCGCAACTTCCAGCTTCCTCGGTTCTTCACGAGGTACTTCCATCCAGCAATGGAGGCGACAGATGCACTGACTTCTCCGTGCCCCCAGGGGCTCTTGTATGCGTTTCTGCCATTTCCACTGATCCCCAGGACCATCAGGAAGATCAGGGAGGAGAAGGCAGAGGTGATCCTCATAGCTCCCCTGTGGGCACGTCGTCCGTGGTTTTCACTTCTGAAGGAGATGGCCGTGGCTCCGCCTCTGACCTTACCGCAGTCCCCTGACACGCTCTTGCAGGGCCCCATCTGGTACCCGCACCCCGACTGGCTGTCCTTGACCGCGTGGAGGTTGAACGGCAACATTTCTCTCAGCTAGGCCACCTGGACAATGTTTTGGCAACCCTTATGGCCTCAAGAGTGGTAGGCACTCACCTCCCTATATATACATTGTATGTGGCCCTAGCTAGGAATGTAAAATGCTTGTAAACCGCTCAGAGCCTCCTGGATTGAGCGGTATAGAAATTGAAAGTATAAATAAATAAATAAATAAATAAATAAATAAGAAGGCAATCCACCATTCACATTTATAATACCACTTGGAAGGCATTTGTGCGGTGGACTAGGAGGAAGAAGCTGGATCCTCTGTCTCCTACAATGGCAGATGTCCTTTCCTTTTTACAAGACGGTTTGGATTTCGGCTTGAAGGCAGCCACCTTACGATGGCAAGTGGTGGCATTATCGACTGTCCTTCCTCGCACAGGAGGATATAGGATGACCAAGCACCCCCACATACAGCTGTTTCTACAAGGGCCAATAGCCAAGTCGCCTCCTCAGATACACAGGTTCCCAACCTGGAGGCTACACACGGTTTTGACAGCCCTTACCAAAGCACCATTCGAACCTCTCAGGGAAGTCGGAATGAAGTGGCTCCGGATGAAGACATTCCTGGTGGTGATAACCTCAGCACGGCGGGTCTAAGAGCTGGGTGCTCTATCAGTAAAGGCCACGCTCTGCGTCTTCCACAAGGATACAGTGGTACTTAGGACCGATCCCACCTTTCAGCCAAAGGTTTCTTCCGCTTTTCATCATGCTCAAGAGATCTATTTACCTACTTTCTGTCCAAAGCCACAACATCCCAGAGAAAGGCTATGGTACACCCTTGATGTCAGACGGGCATTAAAGATTTACATCGTGCACACTGAATCTCTACGAAAAATGGACTTCATGTTCATCAACATCTCCTTTCCACATACGGGAAATCGTATGTCCATGGCTTCCATCAGTGCAGTCCTTAGGTCATGCATCACGGAGGCCTACAAGGCATCAGGAATGGAAATTCCCAAAGGGATCACGGCCCATTCCTTGAGAAGTGCGGCAACCAATGCAGCGTTCACGAATCGAGCTTCAGTCGAGGAGGTCTGCAGTGCTACTACTTGGACGTCATTTGGCACTACAAGCTAAACACCATTGCGTCAGCCAACGCAGCATTCAAAAAAAGAGTCCTTCAGGACATTCTCCCTTCGGCTGGCATTTAAGGGACACTGCTTTTGGAGGTCCCATGGAGATGTCCTCCACCTCAGTGGGAGAACGACCTTTGGCACTTACCGTGAAGGGTCCTTCTCCTCTGAGGTTAGGAGGACATCTCGGCCCTCCCGCTTTCATCATCGTCCTTTTGCCTGTGTTTCTCTGTGCTGTTCTCTTCTTCTTCTTCTGCGTTCTTGTTCTACTGTTTTATAGTTCTATCATTAATGTTGGAAGTTTACCTGCTTGGTGCAGAGGAGTTAGCCTTAGTTGATACTCAATGCTTATGGAGTCCCAGAACTGAGGGGCAGGGCTATTCCCAAGGCACCAACAGGAAGGAGAAAAAAGTATTTACTGCCTCTCTAAAGGAACGATGGGAATAACCCATGGAGATGTCCTCCTAACCTCAGAGGAGAAGGACCCTTCACGGTAAGTGCCAAAGGTCGATTTAACAGGTGTTTGCAAACTAAAGTAAGGGTTCATGCAGATAACATAAGAGAAGGCTACAGAACTGGGGTGTTTTTTTTTATCCTTTACTTATTTAGAATGTCAGCCAGAATGTCTCACAACATCTACTGAGAATCTTCTAGATATATTGCTTAAAGGCAGTGCTTACAACATGTTTACCTATGAATGGTCTGTGTGTATGTTTCAGTTGTTCTTTAAGGTACATAACATACTTTTTTGGATTTATGCACAAATAAGAAACCAAAATATAAATTCATTACTGACACAGTTCTGCAGGTTAACAGTGTGCCAGGAATTAGGGTACTTCCTTAAAGCAGGGAGTGAAAATGGATTTATTCTCTGACTTGAAATTAATATATCTCCATTCTCAGGCTCCTGTGAAACATTGCCTGCAGTGCTCTCTGCAGGAAACAAGAGGAAGTAACCCCAATGTTTCTGTGCTAAGCCACCTGCTCCTGAACCACCACTTATGAATAAATGCTTTACAATATTCATTGTGAGTTTAAGCTTTAGGGTTAGAGGAGGTTGCCCCACATCAAAGCAGTCTGTGTTGTATCTTAACCATCATCCATTGACTTTTGTATCTACTTGTTACAACAAAATCTCTTGAAGTGTTTTGGAGTACCCTTTAGGAAAGAACCACTGCTGATGGGATAGCATCTTCTTGGGATGCTTCTTCAAATTGAATTTCATTTAACACTCTGCACATGCCTTCTGCTAACTCCAAGTATACTTTTGCTATCTACTAATTTAGTAGGTACTGCCCCCTTCAGTTTAGGAAACCTGTAGTACATTTTTAAAGAGCATCCTCTTTCATTGAGCTTTTTGGGTTTGATAATGAGTGGCCCTTCTGTGACTTTATTCCAGTTTTAATGTCCTGGGTTTTGATTATTGTTACCAACTAGCTTTTCTAGTGCTTGCATGTTGCCTATTTTATTGCTTTACTGCTATTCTAAAGATTGTTTTTGTAATGTTTATTATCAAAAGCTAGGTGTAGCTATTTAAAATAAATTATTTTATATGAGTATGTGGATATTTCCTTTGAATTAACTTAATGTTTGGTTCTTTTGGATGTTGCTAGAGAAGTAAGCAAAATTTCAGAAATATATGCCATTAAAGAATTAAAACTCATATATTTTAACTAATTTCTCTCTTAAGGTTCCTGTGGCAAGGGCTAGCATCCTCTGGCTTACTGGAGAATATTGTGAACGAGTTCCAAAAATAGCCCCAGATGTTCTAAGAAGAATGGCCAAGAGCTTCACTGCTGAAGATGATCTTGTAAAGCTGCAAATTTTAAATCTCGGAGCTAAATTGTATTTAACCAATTCAAAACAGGTAAGATTAACAAAATTGGACATAAACTGTTTAGACCAGGTTTTCCAATATATGTCATGACAGAGCCAGGGGGCCGGGCAGAGAGGGAGAGTTTACAGTTCAGTTCGTGAGTCAAAGCCAGAAAGATCAAAAACAAGCAGAGCCAGCATTACCAAGGGTCAGAGTCCAGAGAAGCGAGTGTCGAATGTCAGGGTGCAGAGCCGAGGATCAAGAGCCAGAGAGTCGTCAAAACGCGGACTGGATTCAGGAACCGGGAAGTCAGTCAGTACGGGATCTCAGGAGCAGCGTCAGAGGTGCAGTGCTTCTGGTCTGAAGGACTAGTTTGCCAGCACGATTTGCCAGCAGTCAGTGACCTGTTCAAATAGTGTGCTGGGTCGTTAACTCATTAGCACTGCCTTGCGAAGTCCTTGACTCTGCTAGAACTCCGGGCTCATTGTTCTCCAACCGCCGCTGCAAGCCTGCCTCCTTGCATCTGGTTGCCAAGTCCCGGCGTCTCTGATTCCTCAGCCAGTGGAGAATCAGGTGGCGTACTGCTGGGGCCAGGCACTGCCTGATCGGCTTCAGGTGCAAGCTGTCCTGGGGTTTGGTATTCATCCTCTCCGGCACTTAGGTTTGGCAAGTACTCTCGCGCCTCTGCTGATGTTAAAGGCACGGAGTCCTCCGTTTCAGAGCTCCCAGGTGCCGGACTGGGGGCAGGCATGACACTATATATTTAAGAAGTTCACAAAAGACTTGTGTAATGCAATGTAAATTTATCAAGTTGCAATGCAATATAAATTTATCAAATTTATCAAACACTTAAGCACTCTCGTGTCTCATAGCTTAGACATCCTCCAAAATACCTTAGGTCATTCACATGGTAAACTATAAAATTGGAAAAGGTAAACCATCCAGTGGTCCATCTAGTCCATCTGTCTCACATAGCGGTCAACCAGTTCCTCTTGATGTCCTTCAGCAGGGCATAGAACACACGTAAATACATGAAGCTGCCTTATGCTGAATCAGACCATCAGGTCATCAAGGTCAGTATTGTCTACTCAGACTGGTAGCGGCTCTGCTGGGTTCTCAGGTGGAGGTCTTTCACATCACCCAGTGCCTGGTCCTTTATAACTGGAGAGCCTGGGATTGAACCTGGGACCTTCTGCATGCCAAGCAGAGGCTCTTCCATGGATCCACAGCCCCTCCCCTGGAGGCAAAGGCTTTCTCCTGATGTTTCCTCCTGGCACTGGTATTCAGAGGTCTGTTGCCTCTGAATATGGATGTTCCATGTGTTAATCACTCTTTGGGTGAAGAAGTACTTTCTTTTATCCATTCTAACCTGACTGTTCAGCAATTTCATTGAATGCCCACAAGTTCTTGTATTGTGAGAAAGATATTATTTTGCCGCCTGCATCGCATCTACTAGCAAGCAACCAGCTCAGTTATTCAGATTGGTTCGATAATTGACCACCCCTTTGGTGTGTCCTAAAACTGATTTGGCTCTCAGGTGTGATTCATTTGCAAACTTTTTTGCGGGTAAAGTCTCTAAACTCTACCTGGAGTTGGCTGCTGTTTGATAACAGTAATGGAATGGGGGCACCACTTGCAACATCTGGTTCTTTTTGGGACTCTTTTGGCCTGCTCACGCTTGTGGACGTTGACAGGATCCTTACAAATGTGAAACCATCTACCTTCACCTTGGACTATCCATCATGGCTGGTAAAATCATGCCATAAAGTGGTAAGTGGCCCTTTGAGCCAGATTATTAAATTTGTCTCTCTCACAGGGCTGTTTCCCCAGCTCCCTTAAGAAACCTCTCTTAGATAAAAAGGAGCTGGCCAATTACTGCCCAGTGTCTAATTTACCTTTTCTGGGGAAGGTAATTGAACAAGCAGTGGCCCAGCAGTTCCACGTTTTCCTGGATGAGACATCTGCCCTGGACTCTTTTCAGTTGGGCTTCAGACCTAGCTTTGGGACCAAGACAACACTGGTTGGTTTGGTTGATCTTTCTGGGTTTATCAGTGGCCTTCGATACAGTTCACCATTTGGTCCTGATTGCCTTGCCTACCTGGGAGTAAGGGGCACTGCCCTTAGTTGGTTCTCCTCGTTCCTCCAGGGACACTCTCAGAGGGTTGCTATTGTGGAGGAGAGGTCTTCCCAACAAGATCTGAATTGTGGGGTCTCACAGGATTAAGTTCTCTCTCTCATGTTATTTAACATATATATGTACCCTCTTGCTGAGATTGTCAGGAGGTCTGGAGTTTGGTGCTATTAATATGCTGATGACACTTAGCTCTTCCTCCTGCTGGATAAGCAGCCAGTAGCAGGGCTCTCGGCACTAACCCAGTGTCTGCATGCTGTAGTCCAGTGGTTGGGGAATTGGCTGAAGCTGAATCCATCCAAGACAGAGGTCATGTGGCTGGGAAAGACTGAAATGCTAGCTGGAGGGTCACTCACAAGAGTCAATAGTTTCCTGTTGACAGCTGTATACTCTGTAAAGAGACTTGGGTGTGGTTGGATTCTGCGCTGTCATTGGATAAACAAGTGTCCATGGTAGCACGGTCACCTGTGCCAGGCCCGCCAGCTGGCTGCTCATTTGTCTGGGTCAGACCCTGCCACATTGATCCATGCAACAGTCACCTCTAGATTGGACTAAAGCAATTTGCTCTACATAGGGCTGCCCTTCAAAATGCTTTAGAAACTGCAGGTGGTCCAGAATGCAACTGCCAGGTTGCTGACTGGAACATCATGGTCAGCTCATGTTACTCCAATTCTGTGGCAGCTGCACTGGCTACCAGTTAGTCTCTGGATCCAATTCAAGGTGTTGGTGTTAACCTTTAAAGCCCTTGATAGTCTGGGAACCTCATACCTATGAGACCACCTCTCCCATTACAATCCCCTGCACTAACTTTGGTCATCGTCTAGGGGCCTATTGCAGGTTCCTGGCCCCAGGATGGCTTGATTAGCTGTCACCAGGGGAAGGGCCTTCTGACCGTGTGGCCCCTACCCTGTAAAATGCACTCTTGGATGACACCCATCCCCTGCTGGACTTGCTTAGTTTCTGCAGGGCATGCAAAGATGAATTATTTAGGTTTGCACTTGGAAGGTAACCAAGTATTTGGGCTGTTTTAATAGTGGTATGGTGATAGCCAGGTATTTGAATATTTTAATGTTAATATATTTTATTTGTTTTTATTTTTTTTTTTACCTTATTGGTTTTAATGTTGTAAGTTGCCACGAGAACCTTTGGGTGAATGGAACTAATAAATCTAATAAATAAATCCCTGGTTTTCACCACCTTGTATAAATTTCTGTCATGTGAAAACTTGGCCCACTACACTACTCACCCCTAGTTCCAGATATGAATAAATTAAATAGTACTAGCCCCAATACCGATCCTTGTGAGACCCTGTTGTTTACTTCCCTCCATTGTGAGAACTGTCCTTTTACTCCTACACTTTGCTTCCTGTCATTTAACCAATATTTAATCCAAAAGAGAACCCATCCTCTTATCCCATGATTCCTGAGTCTTTGCTGAGGTACCTTGTCAAAATCCTCTTGAAAGTTGCAGTATCTAATGTCTTCCAAGTCACTATTGTCTCCATGTTTGTTCACTTTCTCAAAGAACTCCAAAGGTTGGTGAGGCAGGGCTTTCCTTTGCAGAAGCCATGCTGATTTCCCCTCAGCAGTCTTTGTTCTTCTGCGTGCCTAATCTTTCTGTCTTTGATTATAGTTCCAACTAATTTGCCTGGGACAGACATTAGGCTAACTGGCCTGTAATTTCCTTGTTACCCTCTAGACCCCTTTTTAAAAATTGTTGTAAAATTTGGTACTCTTCAGTCTTCAGGTACAGTGGCTGAATTTAGCAATACACTATATAGATATGGGTTAGTAGATCAACTTTTGGCATTTGAGTTCCCAAAGAACTCTTGGGTGTATGCCATCAGGACCTGGAGACTTACCTTTTTTATTTTCCCTAATAGGTTTTGAACGTCACTTCCATTTGACTCAATTTTTCAGACTCTCTTTCTGAAAATAGTCGCTTTGACATGAGTACATGCTCCACACTTTCCGCAGTGAACACAAAAGCCAAAAAGCCATTGAGCTTTTCTGCCATCTCCCCATCTTTCTTTAGCAATCCCATTGTTCCTTGGTCATCCAAAGGCCTAACTGCTTCTTTGGCTGGTTTCCTGCACCAGTTATATTTAAAGAAGTGTTTATTATTTGTCTTAATGTTTTTAGCAACCCTGCTCCTCAAATTCTCTTTTTGCATGCCTGATTATTGACTTACATTTCTTTTGCCAGAGCCTGTGATCCCATCTGTTCAGTTCATTGGTGCAGACCATCAACTTTTTAAAAGAAACTTTTAAAACCGTTTTATAACTTCCTTGACTTGCATTGTTATCCATGCAGGCATTCTTTTAGATTTCATAGTGTCCTTTCTAACTTGGGGGATGCATTTGATCCAGACTTCAATTAGTGTGGCTTTAAATAGCTTCCAAGCATTCCCTCAGGATTTGACTCTTGTGTTTCCTTTCAGCTTCTTTTTAACTATTCTTATTTCTGTAAAGTTGGACTTTAAGGGTAACTTTCCATTGATGTAAGTGCTGAACTTAATAGCATTGTTCCCAGTTGGCGCAGCAACCTCTACATCTCTCACCAGATCTTGAGCCTCGCTCAGAACCAAGTTCAAGTTCACTACCCCTCTAGTTGGGTTTGTGACTAACTGTTCTAGTACACAGTCATTTATGATATCTAGGAATCTAATTTCTACAACCTGACTTGAACACCTGTTTCCCCAGTTAATATGAGGGTAGTTAAAGTCTTCCAGTATAACACTGTCTGCTTTAGTCACCTGCCTTATTTCCTTTTCCATCACAAGGTCAGCCTCAAGGGTTTGATCAAGTGGGCAACACTACATTCCCATTTTTAGGTAACTCTTAGGGCCTATTATTTTCACTCATATCACTTCTGTTTTCATTCTCTCAATGTTTTCTAACTTATATGATTCTATGCCCACCTTGATGTGCAGCACACACCTCCCCCAACCTGGCCCTCCCTGTCCTGTACATAGAGCTTATACCCAGTGATGAGTGTATCCCACAATTTTCCCAATTCCACTACGTTTCTACCATAACACTATATCTAAATTGTCATTTATTTATTTATTTATTATGTATTGTCAATAACATAAATACATGACAAAAACATACATAATACAAATTTAAACATAACAGTTAAAAATAATACATTACAAAGTGCTGGCGGTAGTTAAAATTCAATCAGATGGAATGCTTTCAGATGGATTTCCAGCTTCCAGCGTAAAAGTGCTTAGATGTTATTCTGCTCCAAGCATTTAGCACCAAGCATTCCAGCTTCCCCATCATGGCTCAGAGATTTCTGGCACTGGCATATTGACAACTATAATGTGTTTCCCTATCCAGTCACCCTTGCTTCCCTCAGCCCTTTTGTCACTACACATGGCCGTCTTTCACCATCCTACCTTCACTTCCAAATTCTATTTTCCTGTCAATACTACCCTGAGTGTTTACACAGTTATCCCTTTGGACTGAGTTGTTCTGAACTGGAGACTGCTTAGTTCCTGTCAGCTTTCTCCTGGGATTTAGTTTGAAAGCTGCTCTGACAACTTTTTTATATTAATCACTAGGCAAACTGGTTCCCTTTTGGTTCAACTGAAGTCCATCTCTTCACGTGAACCAGTTTGGCCCATAAAGTGTCCCAGTGCCTAACAAATCTAAACCTTCCTCCTGGCACCACTTTCTCATCCACACATTGAGACCTCTGATCCTCCAGTACCACATTGTTACATCTTCCAATGTCATTGGTGTCAACATGCACCACTACTGCTGGCGAAATGTCAGGTCATAGCTGCTGGCGAAACGTCAGGTACTACAATGCCATGACCACAGCCACACAGCCCAGAAAATCTACAACAACTAATGAACTCTGGCCGTGAAAGCCTTTGACAAAATATATAACAATATTTGTTAAAAGTTGTTTGCATTGTAATAGAAGCATGTCAGCTGAAATACATAGTTTTTTGAGCTGATTGGATAAAGAGCCAGCTCAAACTTGTCCTCTTTCAATACTGGCATCCTTTTTTCAAACTGACTGCTCATGTGATGGGGTGGAGTTTGAATAGTTTGATATGGAAACTGCCAAAAATGGAAGTGAGAAAATGAGCAGTTATAATATCAACAATATCACTTGTAATAATATGTATAATAAAGCAGTATGCTTTGAGGTTTTGGTTTTATGTGAGTTAACTGTTTAGTGCAATGCTGACGTGATCTTGGATGTGCGTACTACTGTTCATTGTGGTAACAGGAAGGTTTTCTGTTCACATTGAGTCTGTTCATGGTAAGAATCATGAACCTGTGACAGAGTATGAATCTGTGTAACCCCCCCTTTTAAAATCATCTCTACTTGTGGCCATCACTACCTCCACTGGCAATGAGTTCCATAGTTTAATTACTTGTTGAATAAAGTACTGTGTTGTCTGTCCCTAACCTGTTTCCCAACAACTTCATTGGGTGCCTCCAAGTTCTAGTATTATGGGAGAAGGAAAAAGGGCATGCTGTATCCATTTTCTCTATTCCGTGCATAATTTTATAAAGCTCTGTCATGTCCTCCTTTAGCTCTCTTTTTGCTAGATTGAAAAGTCCCAGACACTCCAGCCTTTCCCAATGGGAAAAGTGCTGCAGCCCCCTAGGCATCTTGGTTGACCTCCTTTGTACTTCTTCCAGCTCTGCAATATTATTTTTGAGATATGATAACCAGAACTGCACATAGTATTCCAAATGAGGCTGTACCATAGCTCTGTACAAGTGTATTACAATAGGGGCCATTTTATTTTCAATCCTTTTCCTAATAACTCCTTGAATGGAGTTTGCTTTTTTCACCACTACCACACACTAGGTCAGCATTTTCATCAAGCTTATTACTACAGTGCCAAGATGCAGTATATCATAACTGGTGAAGATATAAAAGAGCACTAATGCTTTTGTTGTCTTCTCACCAAGTTTCATGATAATACCACAAGGTATTTATCTCAATTTTTTCTAGTGTCAGAGGAAAGCACACACCTGTTCAGTGGGAATCTACAACAAGAACGAAGTGGGGACATCTTCAAGATCAATAGTTTTGATCAGAATTCTCATGCAATGATTAGTGGGAGAAGCATCTTAAGGTAGTACAACTAACAGGAAAGAAAGGGGGAGGAAGAGTAGAACTTGGCTACAGTGGAATAAATTTTGAGAACTCGAGAGGGAAGTCAGATCTGTTCTGTTCTGATCTTTTATACCCTTTTTCATTGATCAGAGGTTGCTCCTAATTTTTAAGAGAAGTAGTAAACTTTTTCTCCTTATCCAACTATATTCTTTTTGCATGGTCAGCATAACCAGTAGCTTCCCCAGCAACCATATTCTTTATCAATATTCCCATTAAAAGAATCTTCTTGGCTGCTTCATCACGAAGCATGAGGTACATGCAAGGCAGCTTAGATAGTTGTAAAACTGAATTCACTCTTTTAGATGCTTTCTGTTTATCAGCTGTTCCATGTACATCTTTTTTGTACACATCAGTAAACAAAGAGTAAGGCAAAAATTTCCCTTGACCTTGCCCAATGTGAAATTTGGAATCACGCTTTTTAAAAAATCTGGTTTTGCAGCCTTAAATCAGAGTGCAAATTGTACAGCACTCTCAAGATGTTTTGCACCTAAAGAATTCACCAAAAACTCTATGTTTGTACTTGGACGATAAGTAAGCCTGCATTTTGCTATGACAGACATAAACACAGCTTGTTTCTCATGCCCATCAGCTCCCCTTCCCTCCACCACAGCATTGACTGAAACATTTATCCAATAACTTCTCAACAGCCAGACACCTATGACTTGTAAACTACCATTGTTTTATGAAGATCACCAAACATAATACTATCATATAATACCATATGTGGTTGCAGTTGCCTAAAGAATTAAATTTTGAATGGGAAAAAAGGATGGCCCTTCATAATATTTACTGGCATCTGCCAAGGATCCAGGTGTCTTTTGCCATTTTTCTAAGATTCATTACTTGAAAAACCATTGACGCAGCATTAGCAGGCAGCCTGAACTGTGGTAGATTACCATGTTTGGATGGAGAACAAATGTAAAACAACCAAGTATGAAATGTTGATCATATCATTGGATCATCTTACTCAAGCTTGTTTTGGGTCAACAGTATTTCTACATTGTTAAGCCAATCAGTTTCCTTATTATAACTTGTAGATCGTATAATTGAATATTTGTTGACATTTCAAGTTAAATAGTGTCAAGTTTAAAATTCATTCATCTAGAAGTCATTTCAAAAATTGCCTCACTGCCAAATGAAGACATCACACGGTTCTATTTCAAAGTCAAGCGTTTCCCATCTTAGCATCTTAGCTGTGTACTCTTTGTCAGAGAAGCAGGCAGGAACTGCTAAGGACAGTGGCTGGCATCAGTAGCATTAGCCATCATGGAAGAATTGGTGGATGTGGTAATTGTTGTTTGAGCAGTCTTCTGGGTCTCTCAGCCCTGGTAGCCTCTGAGATTCCCATCTTGCCTTAATATTCATAATTACAAAACAAATCATTCAGAACAACATTGTCTATCTGAGGAGAATGATAGAATTATCCATTTGTAGAACTGAATTTCAAATAGAGCAATGGCTGTTAACTGAAATGGTAGGTTTTTTCCCATGGCTGTTTCATATTGTCAAAGAAATATGTCCATTTATAGTGTATGGCACGTAACATCTTGAAGCATAATTATGGATTAACAAAAGTATAACACTGTCCTTTGTAGTAAAATTTATTCAAGAAGATAGCCTTTTTAAGTGTAAATCTTTTTGAAAAATATGCTTACATGTTGGTTTAATTTTATGTATTGAAGTAATGCATTTTTGTGAAGTTTTATCATCTTAAGCAATAATCACTGATTCTCTTTATACTAAATAAATATAATCATATTTAACTTCTGGATTAAGCAGTGTTTTGATCTTTGTACCTGTTTCAATTTTCTATGTGCTTTGTCCAACAAAATGCAAGATAATATTTGCAGACTATTCATATTTTCCAATTTTTTTTGTTTTCTAACAATTAAACATAACCTGCATGGAGTCATTTTAATAATTATTTTTCTCACAAATCAAATTAGGGACTCTGGTTATGTTGTAAAAAGCTGTGATAATATAACTTGCTTTTATGTATATAAATAAATGACCAATATTACCAGAAGCTTTAAGCTGTGAGGGGGAAAATGGAAGAAGTCTTTTATCCTGGTTTTTAGAGGGCATCAGCAGCTTGCTTTTATGAAAAAGTAACAGCTAAATGCACTGCAAATAATTTGCAGTAATCCAGTTCAGTGATTCATGTGTCTGCTTTAATGGGTCATAATTCAGAGTAAAGTAACTGAGTGCAGTCAGAGTGCAGACACTGCTTATGCCAGGGACAGTATCTCTTCATAAAACACACCTCAGCAGAAGCAGTTTGCCAGCCTCCTAATACCCTCTGATGTTTTGATGTCCTGCATATTTTTCCGATTAAGTTTTGAGTGCCATGTTTTTAGTTGTATTTCCACATTCATTATCCTCACGTAGGCCCTTCAGCGGGTTTGCCATATATGATTATTTTTTTAATGATGCCTTTCTTTCCACTTCAGCAGTTTAATAATCTAGCACATGGCTGCTTCTCAGTACTCAGCGTTCACCTCCCCAATACAGAAGAGGACATGTGCTTTGGCTTCAAAATTCCATTTACTGCTTTAGAAATGCATATTCCCTATGGAACAACATTTGTTTGACATAACCATTCATTTTTATTACCTCTTTAAATATGTTTATCCAGAGTTATCAATAATCATAAATAACTTGTATTTTCTTCTTGTCCTGTTTTTCTCAGACAAAATTGCTTACCCAGTACATATTAAATCTCGGCAAGTATGATCAAAGCTACGACATCAGAGACCGTACAAGATTTATTAGGCAGCTTATTGTTCCAAACGAGAAGAGTGGAGCTTTAAGCAAATATGCCAAAAAAATATTTCTGGCACAGAAACCTGCCCCGCTGCTCGAGTCGCCTTTTAAAGGTATGTCAGTCATTTTATTTTAACCAACTCTTACTTGGAGATATATAGATTAGTAGTATATACTTTTAAGTTGCCAAATCTCATGTTGCTAAATGATAAATGGTTAGTGTAAACATTTGTGTATGAGTAACAAGATCTTAGATTTTCATCCTTTTTAGAGGGAGTGGAAGGAGTGGTCAAAATGTATGTTCTTTGCTTATCTAATGCTTATTATAAACCTGGTAATCCACAGTGATTTAAAAAAATCATCTTATTAAATTAGGGATCAGCATGAAAATTTAAATCTCTGTACTAATCATTGTTTAGATAGGTCTTCAGCCACTAACAAGACTTGTAAATTAATCTTAAGAACAACTTTTAATTACAGTTTAGATTGTGAAACTGTGTCCTTTCCAAATTCTATTAGTTTTGGTTATACCAGTTACTGGCTTTTTTCTATGTAGTTTTAAAGATGATACTGTTGCGCTGTCCTCCTTTCCTTGTCACCTGCACCCAGGGTTCTTCTAAAAGTTATCACCTTAATTATTACTTTTATTATATTAACTATCCCCCTTCTGAATTTTTCCATACTTAGTATTTTAATTCGGCTTTAAACTCTGAAAGCAACTCTTTTTCTAAAGGAAAAACGATTAAAATTCTGGATGTGTTTGTGCCAAGACATGTATATGGATTATTTAACTGTGCTGTCATTCTTAATATTCACAGTAAAGTAATTTTTAGAGAAGCTACATTTCAGAGCAACACCTCTAAACACACTGACTGATTAGCTTTTTTATTGACCATTATGGGGGAGATTATTGTAATCTATGGACTGGAATCAGTTTTTTGACCTATGAAGAGTTTCCTAGTTTATATTTATTCCATGACATTTGAGGTAATGTAACGCCAATTACCTTTCGTCCTGATTAAGATTGCTCTTTGTGATATAGCGCTCATGTCTGTATATTTTTCACCTCTTTCTCTTTCCCACCCTCCTCCCCAACAGATAGGGAGCACTTCCAGCTTGGTACTTTATCTCATACTCTGAACATGAAAGCCAGTGGCTATCTGGAGTTGTCTAATTGGCCAGAGGTTGCACCTGACCCTTCTGTAAGAAATGTAGAAGTAATTGAGTCGGTACGTTGACTTTTCAAAAATAATATTATTTTGGGAGATGGGAATCTTTAATCTGTATAATTTGAAAAAAATTAGCTTGCAATGGATAATGCATCCTAATGCAAATAAATTCTTTCTGCTGTTAACAGATCTCTTCATATTCTTATGGAGGTGCTTTGTGAATCTTCTTAATGTATATCTCCTTTCAGTCACTCTGCTGTCACCTTATTTGCTGTTTGAATAACTGTAGATGTTAATTCAGGCTTCCATTTGTAGTGGAATACCTCGTGGTTGATAAGGTTTCACAAACACCCAAGAATAAATTAATGGCTGCTTCTGGATAATTACCACCACTACCATCTCTGTGCCTGGAAATGGTCCCCACAGTGGCTAATCTGCTTTCTCACTACTTAGAGGCAACTGCGTATGGGTCACCTGAAGGTTAATATGGAGCTCTACTGGCTTATTCAAAAGGTGGATGGAATTGGGGCAGATGTGGCAGTATTTGGTTATCAATACATGTTGGCTTTTCCTGAAGTGCCTGCATAAATAATTTCTGCTGGCTGGTTGAGAACCAAGGCAGACAAGTCAGATGAATCATTTATTATAAACAGAGGCTGCTTAATGAATATTTTAGACTCCAGAGGTAATGCCTCTGCAGCCCACTTTGGTGGTGGTGGCAGCATGTGTGCCTTTCCCCATGTCACAACACCAGGTCAGGTTGGCTCCAGAAACAGCGCCCTGGAAATCGCTTGGGTCATTTGAACAGTGAACTGACCAATGTTCCCTCTAATTCCTCTTCCCTAGTGAGCAGAGCAGTTCACATCCTTGAGCAGGATATAACTGCTGTAATCTTAAAATGGGCAATGGGAAGTGCAAGACCCTGTGCGACTCTAGATTGCTGCTCAGTGGGGCTTCCTGTGTTAACAAGCAGCCGCTTACGCGCACAGCTTAGAGGGAACACTGGAACTGGCCCTGGTTATAAACAGTTGTCTTTCTGAATTGGATATGAAGTACAGTTCTCCTCACTTAATCCTTTGGTTTTCAGTTTGCTTCTGTATTGCTATGCTCTGCTCTTTTGTGCCTGGTCAAAAAAGACAGCAATGTAGTATTCACAGGTATGAATATAATGTTCTGAATTTCTATAATAATTTTAATGGTCTAAATGTTTACATTTATGGACAGACAAAAGAGTGGACTTCAATTTTAGGGAAGGCAAAGAAAGAAAAACCCATTGAAAAGTTCTACTCTGAGTCAGAAGAAGAAAGTGATGACTCTTCAAGCAGTAGTGATAGTGGTATGTGTTCATACAGAATAATTACAGTTCAGAGAACTATGAATACAGGTTTGTGCATCTGCATGTTGTTCCAGTGGCTAACATTAACCTCTGCTGTGGTCAAACAAATGGATAAGTGCTAAACTCTTGAAATTAAATTATTTGCAATAAAAATATGGTGAGGCAGGTTAGAAATAAAGTACAACAATCTTGGTAACAGGTGCTTTGAATATTGGCTCATTAATGTAATAAATTTAGGGAGTAATCCCAAAAAGATCTACTTAGAAGCAAGTCCCATGTTATCCAGTGTGCTTACTCCTAGGAAAGTGACCATAAGGGTGGTGGTGTAAATTATAGCACTATTTTTATTTACATGAATACACATGAAGCTGCCTTATCCTGAACCAGACCACTGAAACATAAAGTTCAGTATCGTCTGCTGAGACTGGCGGTGGATCTCCAGGATCTCAGGCAGAGGTCCTTCACATCACCAACTGCCAGATCCTTTAACTGGAGATGCTGGGGATTGAACCTGGGATTTCTGCATGCCAAGCAGATGCTCTACCACTGAGCCACTCAGATATTTATACCCTACTTTTCTCCCCAGAGGGGTTCCAAAGTAGCTACAGCATTGTTACCCCTTTCTCTGTTTTACCCTCACAACAACCACTCTATAATACAAACTAGGCTGAGAGTGACCAGCCCAGGTCATTCATTGAGTTTCCAAATTCAAACCTGTCTTCCAGATCATAGTCTGACAGTCTTACCTTTGTATTGTGCTCCATAAATTTTGCTTAGTGTGCATTCTTTTAGTCATTTTGTATGGTTTTGAGATTCAATATTTTACAGCTTTGTTGTGTGTTTGCTATCAATTGTGTTTATTTTTGTTGATTTTATTCTGTGTGATTGGTGTAGCATCATCAGTACACGGCAGTGTCCTTGCACTGCCAAGGTTACAGTATAAATCATCAATCATGGTTTGGGTTGCCAGGTCTTACCTCCTCACTGGCAGTGGGGTGGGAGGGAGCTCTAGAGTTTTGCCCAAAATACCAGAGCAGCGCTGTACAACGTCCCTGGCATGATGATTTCACTTCCGCATGACGTCATCACATTGGGGATGTTGTGTCGGGTTCTGGCTGTTGGCGACGGGGCTTCACCCTGCTGGCAGGAGCATGCAAAATCAGGGGATCCCCTGCTCCCATTTGGGGGCTGGCAGTCCTAATCATGGTTGGCTCCACCCTTTTTTCCCATGCTTGAAAGTGCTGGCTTTGTTCACATCATGTGGAACTGATGGGTTTCCCAAATCAAACTGGAAGCAACAGGACGTGTGTTATACTAGTATTTCTATCTCTGTGCTTTTGCCCATAATTTGTATCCAGATCCCACCCTGAATCTGAAATCCATCTCTCATTGGTGTCAGCCAAGTTAGCAGATGTGGACACTGTCATTTTATCCCAAGGAACTACATGGTGTTTTTTTTTGTTTTAAGCCAGAGTGCAGCAGAAAGTTTTCTGAGAGTTTATGTGTATGTTTATATACATGCATGACTATATAATATTTGAAAGTTATTTATCTGGTGCCAGATAACTTTCATTTATTCTTACTGTTGCCTTTACTTTGTTTATATCTATTAGCCTAACAAGTAGTCATTTTTCTTGTGGAATAACTCAGTTGTAGAATACATTACTTTTATGGTGTAGTGGTTAAGTGTGTGGACTCTAATCTGGGAGAACCGGGTTTGATTCCCCACTCCTCCACTTGCACCTGCTGATGTGACCTTGGGTCAGTCACAAGCTCTGGCACAGCTGTCCTTGAAAAAGAGCAGTTTGTGTCAGAGTTCTCTCAGCCCCACCCACCTTACAGGGTGTCTGTTGTGGGGAGGGGAAGGGAAAGGAGTTTGTAAGCCGCTCTGAGACTCCAAGTGAAGGGCGGGGTATAAATCCAATCTCCTCCTCCTCCTCCTCCTCCTCCTCCTCCTCTTCTTCTTCTTCTTCTTCTTCTTCTTCTTCTTCTTCTTCTTCTTCTTCTTCTTCTTCTTCTTCTTCTTCTTCTTCTTCTTCTTCTTCTTCTTCTTCTCTACATCAAATATTTTTTGAACTGTCACAGAGCTAAAATTAAATCTTCCTGTTTAAAATATGTAGCTTCTAAAACCTAAACAGTTATAAAGTAATATAAGCCTTCCTTGACTGTGTTTATACTGCTAGTGGTGTCAGTCTGGGCTCTCAAATCCAGCACTTGAATGTAATGAATCATCTTCGTATATATGCAATGAAAAATCATGTAAATATAGACATACATGCATATAAGTACAGTAAAGATATGTTTTGAAATCCCACTGGGCTAATCTTCTGAAAACTGGTGACGTAAGAAGTGAAGATTTGCTAAAGATTAAGGATTATAACTCAAAGCAATGGACTGAAAATGGGAAAGTGTACCTTTAAGTTAGATATTAGAAACATTTTCCAGCCGATTAGAAAATGAATAACTTGTTTAAATTCCTGATTACATTGTCATCTCTTGATGTGTGTTCAGGAATAGATTAAATAGTTAAATATTTAAAATGGTAGAGCAGAAAAGAGAGGCTTGAGGATGTAGGCGGTCAGGTCTAATTTGCTTTTTTCTTTGTCTGAAGCTAGCTCAATAAGTACTCAAGATTTTAACAAATACATTGTATTTCCGGGAAAACATTACATTGTTCAGTTTCAGTTCCCAGAAGGTGCTGGAATATCAAGTTAATTCAGTAGTGCTATGATAAAGTTACTCAAGTAGTATTATGACAAACTTATTCACTTTTAGCTAGACTCATTTCTTATCAGGTATTGATCACAAATATTCCTTATATTTTTGCATTCTAGAAAGTGAATCTGGTAGTGAACAAGAAAAAAAGGAAGTAGGAGACAGCAGCAGTGCGGACAGCAGTGGGAGTTCTTCTAGTGAAAATGAGACTGATAGGCAGTCCAAGTCCAAAAGAGGAGCTGCTAGGCAAGGGACTGCTGTTACAAAGAGGTATGTATGTAGCTTAATTGTGACAGCAGATATGAATGCTGGAGATAGAAATCTGACACTGCTATTTCCCTCTGGTGACAAACATGTTGAATAATATTCTTTGTCTTGTCTATTAGTAAGAAATGCTACCCTTTCCCAGATCATATACAGTACAAGGATGTTGAGCAAGTCTGTTTGATTTAACTTTTGTTGAGTAAATTTTAGGTGGCCAGCAGTGTATATTAGCATAACCTTGGGAGGCTGAATAGTTATCATGCCACTTAAACTTAATTACCTTATACAGCAGTTTTGCTGAGGGCTAAAATTAAATCCTTCTATATTCCACCATTATGAAACAAAGGCAATTGATTTTTCCCTAAATAATGTTACATTAAAGGATTATGATCCAGATATTGGAGGCAAGGGCTGTGAAGGGAGACGGTCAGAAGCTGCTTTAAGTGTCAGGGCTTTTTAAGATTGCCTATTACCAACAGAGTTAACATGTATTAAAATATCATTAAAATTTTAAGTAATTGGGGCTAATACCCTGGATTGTCTGAATCTGTTTCTCCCACTTCTCTCAGCTAGTGGCCTCTGCAGACATGATCGCCCTTTTACTCTGCTGCCTGCTGCCAGCTCACTTGACGAGCTTGCAGCTCAGCTCAGTCGTGGCTGACAGCACTGATTGGGGCACAGTACGCACTCTGCTCCTTTTATTACAGACAGTAATTAAAGCAGCTCGCCCTGCCACTTCCATAACAAACACAGCATAATGCCCTAATTATGACTTTATTAATTTAAGTCAGGATTTAATGATTTTAAAAGTGATTTATATTGTTTTTCCTGTTCAGAACAAATGAAATCTGTAGGTTAAATTAATACAGGCTTTTCATCATTGCAAAGTTAAAAAGCTAGTTACCAGTAAATTTTTTCATTAGATTAACATCTGAAACTCTAAGCAGTAAGGTAAACAATGATTACCTATCTCAACTGAATAATGAACTAAGTTTACCCTACAAAATCATATCTTTAAATTGGAAAAATTTGTTTATTGAAAGCAGTTTTCTTTCACTGAAGGAATTTTTGAGTTTGCAATGAATATTTTCTGGAATTAATGCAGCTGTTCGGTTCTCCTTCTTGAGGAGAAATTAGAGATGAATTTAAGGAAAAAATTAATAGAGGCATTTTTAGTATTGTATATAGAAATATGTTTGGATGCTCTAAATGGATTTGAATTTTTTAATTGCTGACTGTATATTAGCATTCATCATCAATCTTCTGTGCAGTCCCGCCATCGGATAGATCTTTGCAGTTACGAGCCTCCAGGGGGCACTGTGCACCAGAGCCAACTTTGTTCCCACCCAGTATATGTGCTCCTATGCATCAGTGCCCCCTTTACTCTCAGTTCATTATTTGACGTCAAAGGAGAAGGCTGTGCTTTAGAATCTTCAGTGAGAGAGAGAAATTTCTCCAGATTGTGTAATCTGCATTGGTCTCTGAGTAAGCTATAATGGCTCAAAAGGCCTTATTCAAGAAATGCTCCTGATGTGGAGCAAAAATGACCCAGTCTGATGAACATAACCTTTGTCTGTTCTTTCTGGGTGAGGCATATAGTATGTCCACTTGCAAGGGCTCTCAGCATTTCACCCTGAAACTCAAGGCGGCCCTGTGGGAAAAAGCACTTACAGCCTCTGATCCCACTTCTAAGTTGGCTCCAGAAAAAGCTGCCACATCGGTGTCATCAGAATCAATGCGCTTGGCTCCTCCACCCGATCTATATCTCAATGGGTGCAATCTCGGTTCCATTCACTTAGAGTTCATCGTGCCTCTTCAGAGCCCCGAACTAAGAAGGCTAAAGGCAAGATGAAAGGAAAGCACAAAGTGGCACCTCAACAAAATGCTTTTGTTGGTACTCCTGAGTTGACCTTACAGGAAAAACCCCGGTCTACTTTACTGGTTCCGAGATCTCCACTTGTATCTATTTCCGATGGAGACGGAGATGTGACTTGCATCAGGGCCAAGTTCCACCAGAGTCGGATCCAGAACAGATGGCCACGATTCCATGCGCCCAACCACAAGGACCTATGCGGTGGCCCTCACATCGTTATATGATGTCGCCGGACTACTTGGAGGAGTAGGGAGACAACGCTGCTAGCCCATGGATCCAAGTCTATATCATTGCCATCACAGCGTACCATCCTATGCCCCATCAGTGACAGTTTCATGGAGACTGCATTCTCCTGTACTTGCACCCGTGGGAGAGGAACCTATGATAGCGTCTGATGCATCTGAAACAACCTCGGATTTGATTAAAGGGTTAGGGAACCGGCACCCGCATCTCCTACAGAAGATCTGCAGATGTTTGGAGAGCAGATGGTTAGGGTGGCTCAGTCCCTGAAGGTAGAAATAGTCACTTCAGAACATAAACCTCAATATAAAATCTTAAGCCATCTTTATTCAGAATCTTCTGGGATCATTGCCTTCCCAGTCTTAGAAAGCTTAGATGATATTACACAGGAACCGTGGCAAAAACCTGCATCCATCCATCCTACCTATAGAAGGGCCGAGCAGTTTTATAAAACCAAGAAGGAACCCTTTAATTCTTTCACTACTCACCTTCCTCCATCTTCTTTGGTAACCGAGGAGATGCAATTGAGGGGCCTCATGCATACCATAGTGCAGCCACTGACAAGGAGGGGAGAAAGTTAGATGTTCTTGGTCGAAAGCTATATTCTTCAGTTGTTTTAAGTTTCAAAGTAGCCAGTTATGCAACTATTTTGGCAGGTTATCAGTACTTCCTGTGGGAGAAGTTGCTCCCCTTCCTGGAACTCCTGCCGGATGAGAAGAGAAAATCTAAAACACACTGAGTAACCAGACTGTACAAAAATGTGAAAGTGAAAAATATTTAACAAATATATTGTATATAAATCTCTGTTTCTATTATACTGTGCACGAAACTACTCAGAATATTCACAATTTCCTATCTACTAAATCCTGTACTTTTATAACCACAATAATCACCAGTCTTCCCACCAATATCACATGGGTATGAACAGATCAAACCAAACAGTTACTAACATGCACAGTTCATGAAAGTCCATCCATCCAAACTTTATAAACAGTTCATGAAAGTCTTTCCGTTCCACAGCAATTCATGTAACTTATCTGTGTGAATTGTAATCAATGTGCATGGTTTTTAAACCAGAGAATCCAATTGTTGGTTTACGATGTATGATTTCAGCTTAATTTAACTGGTAATCCGGTAGCCCCCATTTCTGATAAACTTTTTCAGAAGCCACAAGCTTACAATATTTAAATCATAACAGTATGCATCCTTTATAACTTACAATGCCAAAAGCAGATTCTCCGCTTGAAGTTTAAGCAACTCATGATTGGATGGACCTTCAAGGCCACAGCACCATAAGGCAAACCTGTGGAGGAAACAAATAAGCTTGACAGAGGACTTACGTGTGGAGAGTCTTCTTTGAAAATTGTGAGTTATAAAGGATGCATGCTGTTATGATTTGAATATTGTAACTCATTGGTTGCAATCAGCTCAGAACATTTTACACCTCTTAGGATAGATGGCATCTATGACAGCAGTGTTGCCTATGGCTAGGCTACATATGTGACCATTGCAGCTCTGCTTTTATCTTGTTACAGAGCGGGGGTTCATGCCTTGTGGCATAGGTTTTCAGCCAGGTGAATTTGGTCTGAGCAGGAGAAATTACTACATATTAATATTTTGGAATTGCATGCAGTTCATTATGCCCTTAGTTGTTTTTCAGATATTCTTCAGAACCATTCCATTTTAGTTCAGTCAGACAGCACAATGACCATATTTTACTTAAACAAACAGGGAGGCACAGATTCCAGGAGTCTGCATTAGGAAACTATTCTTATGTGGGATGCAGCTGTGAAGCTCAGTGCCTTCATTCAGGCTATTCATATTCCAAGGAGCCTGAACTGAGAGGCAGATGAGTTAAGCGGGATGGGCACACACTCCCATGAATGGTCCATAAAACCAATTTACCTGAAACCACTGTTTCCCCTTGGGGACCCCAGATGTCGACCTCTCTGCAACATGGGAGAACAAGAAGGCTGCAAGATTCTGTTCCCATGCAGGCCTGGGAGTGGGCTCCCTGGGAGTTGCATTTCAGCTGTGGTGGCGGCATGCCATGTTTTATGCTTTCCTTCCATTCCCACTCATTATGAGGGTCATAGAGAAGGCCAGGAGGGTAGGATCCAACATGTTATTGATGACACCTTTCTGGCCTCGGCAGATTTGGTTCCTGATATTAATGGAAATTTCCAAAGGCCAGTTCCATTCTCTGCCAATTCAACAGGACCTGATCAGTATCAACCAGGTGTTGCACCACGATTTAGGATGCCTCAATTTAACTGCATGGAGGCTATAGATGGAGACTTAATATTTTCTAGGGAGGTTAATGTGGTGCTATTGCAATCAAAAAAGCCTAGGGCCAAGAAATCTTATATGTAATATGTATAAATGGAAGCCGTTTTCCTTCTGATGTAGTAGGAAGGTTTTACCAGGAGGGATGCCTCTTTAAAGATCTTTTTTTTTTTAGTATTTGTTGCACCTAAAGGCTAAAGGTTTGGTCTTTTCCTCCTTTACTATCACGAGGGGATCCATTTTTTTCTCACCAAAAGATTTCTTAGAGGGTTAAGTAATCTTTGTTCCTCCCGAGAATCATTGGTGCCCCAATAGTGGCCCTAACACAGTTAATGTTCAAACCATTTGAACTGCTTGCAACTTGTTCTTTAGCAGAACTCTCAGTTAAAACTTGCTTTCTAGTGGCCATCACCTCAGCCAGGAGAGTGAGTAAGTTGGCAGCTCTCCAAATTGACCTACAGTGTTTGAATTTTTCCCCTGAAAGCGTAGTCCTTTGGCCTAGTATTAGTTTCCTCCTAAGAGTGATCCCCTGCGAGGAAATCGGCGAGAAGGCTTGGCGTGAACTGGTCCTTAAATAAATAATAAAATCTAGATTATTGGGATCAGAGCTACAAACTCTTTATAGCCTGGCTAACAGAACCTGTTCTCCCTTACATCTGGGGATTATTCGTAATGCAAATCTTCCAGCAGTATACCTCCATCAACTCATAGCTCCAAATTTGCGTAGAGCCATATCCTTGGCTAGATTTAATGTTCTTCCTTCAGCTATCTTATCTGGCAGATTCCAAGGGATCCCCTATCCTAGCAGGTGCTGTCCTTGTATGAAGGATTGTGTTGAAACTGTTGCCCATGTCCTCTTCCAGTGCCCTCTCTATTTGGCGCCCCGTCGGGATCTTCTATATCCCATATTAGGCCATTTTTTAGAGACCCCTGATGATTTTAAGCTCCTTTTCTTGCTCGATAACTCAGATACAGAAATAACTGAAATAGCAGCAAAGTTTCTCTGCAGTGCCATGGCCCTACGGACTGATAAATGATATTATGAATTAAGTTTTTTTATGATGATACTCGGCAATTTTAATTTGACTCTGTATGATTCTGTACTTAGATTACTGTATCTTTATTTATATGCCAATAAAAGGCTTTGGATTGATTAGTTTCCTCCCCCAAGTAGTCTCAAGGTTTATCGCAGGATGTTCTGTGCCCTGTGTTTTTCCCCAAACCAAGCTCTGACAATGAGCTTGTGTTAATTTTCCTGGATGTTAGGAGGGCCTCATTGTTTTACCTAAAAAGGACCGTAGAATTTCATAGAGATAGATCACTGTTTATTTGCTTTGGTGGCCCTAAGAAGGATAGAAAAGCCTCATTCCAGACATTATCAAGGTGGATTCTCAGGGCTATCAGGGAGTGCTATGAGAGGGTGAGCCTACCTTGCCCTTTGAACACCCATTAGGGGTGGAAAATGGTCAGTAAAATCAGTAAAAGTCAGTTTTTTCATCTTGGTCAGTAATTTGTCAGTTTTTTAAAAAATTGTCAGTAAAGTCAATATTTCTTTGATTTTTCTGAATGCAGTTTATGTTTTTTGTTTTCATTACTGCATTTTGGGGGAAACATGATGACTTCCCAGTGAGAAGACAGATTGTTTTTTGTTCAGTTCTGAACTACTTTAAGGACTTTGTTCCTGAGAGTAAAAGTGATTTTGTGAAATCTTCCACAACATATAGAAACATAATTAACCTTTTAAAACATGAGACAATGAAAGCAGGGTGTTGGGTTTTTTTGTACGAGTGCCCGCTTATTTACAAAGTTCCAGAAAGAAAAGCCTTTGGTGCATGAGATGTACAGTGAAGTAAAAACACTCACAAGAACCATGGTGAATTGTGTTTGTAAGAGTTCAGCACCATTGTCTCTTGAAGCCTTCAGTGATGAGCACTACATACCTGTGAGAGAAGTAATCAGTGAAAGTAGAATCTGTGACGAACTGAAAAAACTTTCTGAAAAGGAATAGCTACTCTTCTTAATGGGAGCAAAAAACCCCATTTCATAGCAGCCTGCAAACACCTTTTACTTCAGTCATCTTTGGATATCCTCAGATATCTTCAATGTTTAGCTCTAGCACAGAGGGTCAAGGAAGGAACCCACAAGGATATAATGAAAGTGGCAGCAGCACTCCCGATGGATATTCCACTGGACATGATTGCGGATGAATGGAAATTTCTTAAACTTGAAGATGAAACTGCCAGTGAAACTTGCCACATAGATACATACTGGAATCAGTTCTTTGAAAAGACACACCCATCTGGAGATCCAAAATACCAACTGGTTACCAAGGTGGTGAAAGCAGCAGCATCATTATTGCATGGTAGTATGGACATAGAAAGAGGGTTTTCAAAACTGGATGCATTTTGACCAATGAAAGGGCCAGGATATCAGAACTTTGAATGCCCACCTAATCATCAGAGAAACTTTATATCAGGTATATGAAAACAATGTATACCATGTTAATATCACAGATGGCAAGAGCAGGTCATGTTCATTACAGGCAGTATTGTGATGAACAGTGTGTCATTAAAGAGGAGCAAAAAGAAAAGAAAGAAGGGGGAAAGGCAGAGGAGTTAGAAAGGTTTAAGAAGATAGACAGTGAAAAGGATAGTATACAAGAGAAGGAAGCAAAACTGAAAAGGCTGAGACAACAGAATGAGAAGAGGATGATTGCTCAAATGTTGCTAAATGATGCAACCAAACATATAAAGGAGGCTGCTGAGAAAAAGGGTATTATGGTGGGATTCAACACAGCACAGTTCATGCTAGAAGGAGTGGAGAAAGTAATGGAAGAAGAGGAAAAGGGAAAAAAATGCTTGCGGATGCAGTGCAGAAAACTGTTGAGAAACAAAACAGTCCTTTAATAACTTATTTTTAAGCATTTTAAAGCATTTTTATTTTTACATAACAGACAAACAAAAACAGACATACAAAAATATACATATAGGAAATTCTTGTTACATCTTTTGATCTAGTTATTAACCTCATACAATATCCCGATATATTCATTGGGGGTTTTTCACCTTATAATTTACTTATGTACTTTTTGCTTATAATAAAAAATATAGGTTTTATGTCTTTTTATTTCAGTTAGATGACTGAAAGTTTTATGTCTTGTACTCTTCTGTCCATTTATAAAATCTTGCCCATGTATCTTCAAAGTCTTCTTTATTGTATCCTCTCAGAATTGAAGTTAGGTTATCCATCTCTGCTTGTTTCCATTAACTTCATTTTTCATCAAAAAACCAAAGATAAAGTAAAAGCAAAGACAAATCTTAACTTACAGTAATTATGTTTTATTGTCATAATTATTACTTTATGTGTGGTTAATATATGTTTTGCTGTTTTATTATCTACAGTATGTGATTATTTTTAAAAGGGAATCTTTTTTTGCCTTAAATTTTGTACAATAATGAAAACATTGTCCTTTCTTCATTTTAAAAAATTCAATAAAAAGGTGTGCAATCCTTTTATCTGGATCACATCTGACTATGGCGCTGGCATGGGGATGGTGGAGGCCAGATAATAATCATTTTTAATGAAGTCCTAGTTTTACTTTTAAAACACTAGCTTATCAATACGCTGACATTAAATTGTTCAGTAATTTGTCAGTTTTTTGTCGATATTTGGTCAGGTTTTTTTTTTAATTTTGGTCAGTAAAATCAGTATTTTTGACCCTCTGACTAGTTTCCACCCATGATCCATGCACATTCTATGAGATTGCTGGCTTCGTCCACAAGCGTTCCTGGATAGAGTACCGTTGTCAGAGATTTGCAAAGCCACAACCTGGCTGTCAGCAGAAATATTTGTACGGCATTAGGCATTGAACTTATAGGCCAGTCACAAAGCTCAAGTGCGCAAGGCAGCGCTTTATTCATTGTTTAAGTGAGAGGCACATGTCCTGCCATCTGTTGAGTAGCTTACTAGAATCCCCATGTGGGACTGCACAGAAGATCAATGATGAAAACAGGGGTGCACTTACCTATAACTATTGTTCACCGTGGATCTTCTATGCAGGCACACATACCCTCCCTCCTGCCCCGCTGCATGCTCTGCTTCGGCAGCCCTAGAGGTACTGAGGGTAAAGGGGGCACTGCTGCGTAGGAGCACGTGTCTTGGGGTGGGAGCAAACTTGGCTCTGGCACAGCACCCCCTGGAGGCTCATAGCTATAAAGACCAATCAGATGGCAGGCCTGCTCATGCGCAGTCCCCATGTGTGCCTGCACAGAAGATCCTCGATGAACAACAGTTACAGGTAAGTGCCACCCTGTTTTCTTTTGTGACTTTGTTCCTTGCTTATAAAACATTGCTCCTGGAAATACTAATATCATATAGTACTCAGTTTCTTGAGAAACTTAGCAAAAGTTAGACTCATGAAAAAGGCCTTTCCCCCCAAATAATTTACCTTTTAGATTTATTCTGTATATGCTTTTTTCAGTTACTGTACCTGAAAGCTATGGTTGCAGTTTTTATCCATGCAATACTGCAGTGCAATGAAAATGTAACAGATTTTATTAGTGGTTTTCAAACTTTAGCAATCCAGGAACACACATTTTGATTTAAGGTTATCGTGGACATCAAACCTTTGCCCGTTCACCAGCATCTGCAAGATTCTTAGACTTTTAACAGCTTGGGAATGGTCACTCTGATTTAAAATGTTTCATGGACCCAAGTTTTTGCCTCCTATATCATGCCCACTATTCACTGGCCACCTGCTTTAAAATGTGAGGCTGGTCATACATGAACCATAGAGGTCTCTGTCCTCTAGTGTCTTTAAAGCAATAAATTCAGAATCTGATCAGCTGCACTTTAAAAGGAAGCTTAAGTAAAATGTTTATATTGTTTGTACATGGCCTAAAAGGTCAGCTCTCAGAGGATAACAGATTTTATAGAGCCACAACTCAAAAGGTCCTGACCCAAGTTCTAATCAGTCTCACCCCTTAATTGGAAGGGTCATTGCACCAGAGGCAGCAAAGGAAAGAGCCAATTAAATGGGGATGGGAAGGGACCTGGAAAAACTTGTGTGGTTGTACTGTTTTGTGTGGCTCTGAGTTGTGTGGTTGTACTGTTTTGGGGGGCTCTGGGAGCTGC